GCCTGCGCGTCCGGAGCCTGTGCTCCGCAGCGGGGGAGGCCACAGCAGTGAGAGGCCCGCGTAACACACACACAAAAAAGAAATACACTTTGGATACAATGGAATAGTATTCGGCCATAAAAAAAGAATGACATCTTTCTATTTGTGACAACATGGATAGACCTTGAGGGTATTCAGCTAAGTGAAATAAGTTAGACAGAGACAAATACTGAGATCTCACTTATATGTGGAATCTAAAACAAAAACAAAAACAAAAAAAAAACTGAGCTCACAGATACAGAGAACAGATTTGGTGGTTGCCAGAGGCAGGGATGGGTGTGTGTAAAATGGGTGAAGGGGGCAAAGGGTACAAATTTCAGTTATAAAATAAATAAGTCACGGGGATGTAATGTACAACATGCTGACTAGAGTTAATAATACTGTACTGCATATTTAAAAGTTGCTAAGGGAAAATGCTAAGGGAAAATTCTCATCATAAGAAAAGAAATGCGTAATTATGAATGGTGACAGATGTTAACTAGACTTACTATGACCAATCTGCAATATATACGAATATTAAATCATTACATTTTACACCTGAAACTAATATAATGTTATATATCAATTACATCTCAATTTTTAAAAAAAGAAAAGAAAAGGAGGAAGAAGGAGGTGGGTGAGAGAGAGAGAAAGAGGAAGGAAGGGAGGGAGGGAAAGAAAGGACAGGAAAGGAAAGAAAGGGAAGAGAAGGGGAAAAGAAAAGAAAAACACTTTGGGGCTAGAAAGTCAGGTCAGCAACAGGACTCACCTTGGAATGGGTAGGAATGTCAAAGTTAACAACTACATCCACATGAGGTATGTCCAAACCACGGCTTGCAACATCAGTTGCCAAAAGAATGGAACGAGCTTTTGCCTTAAATTTATTAAGGGATCCTAGGCGCTTGCTCTGAGATGATGAAAAGAAGAAATGGAAAGAATTTTAATCTTGAAAAACTTGGAATCCAAGACACACAAACTAGACATACTAAATAAATACAAGAACCAAGAGAGAAATTTTTAAAAGGATGTTTCCCCCTTAGTCTGAACTAGGCTTCACAGGTCAAAAGGAAACATGGAAGCAATAAAAAGATATTTAAGACTAAAGCTAGAAAATACTAACATGAAACAGAGTTTGTTAAACATGACAGAAAGATAATTGAGAAATAATTTACTGAAAGTCTTTAGAGACGAGAGTCACTATTACCATGAGGGCGGAATAAATCAACTCAATAGCTTCCATCCCAGACAACTACCTGTGGAATATTCTAATTTAAGCCTCTTGCTGTCCTGCAAGGAGGAAGTAGCATCCAAACCAACACTTTAATGCCCATAAAGTCAGGACAACTATGGGCAGATGCATTAATGTCATGTGTTGCTATTGCAGAAATCTCCTGCTACAAGATTTAGCTATCTCATGCCCCCAGTTCACCACTAATGACTCCAAAGAATAGTTAGTTACCTGACTCATCTGTCCATGGAGGGGAATGGCAGTGAATCCAAGATTTCGCAGTAGCAAAGCTGTCCTCTGAGTATTGTTACAGGTGCTGCAGAATATCATAAAGGAGTTTCCAGCCAATTCATTTAGAATATAAACCAGGTAGGTATCCTAAGTCACAAAGCCAAAATAATATATGTAACTGAACCTGGAAGAAGGTTGGCGTCCTGGGCATATAAATTATGTAAAAGACTAAGCCCATAGCTGCTTCTCAGTTATCCAGACCCCCAGCCGCCAGCTTTGCACTCCTTAACTGGCATTATCACTATCATCTCTGTGAACCATGAGTTTCACACACAGCCTGAAGCCAAGCACAAGGAGATGGGTACTCAGCAAGCACACAAAGCCCTGACATCAAAGCACAAAACTAGGGTCCTTTGTCCATAAAAAAGCCACATAATAAGCAGGCAAAAGAAAAACTACCTCAAGGATGGGGTTAGGAAGGGATTGTATCATGACTTCATTACTGTGGTTTAATAATTTGTGAATTCCTGGAATGTCTGACTTTATCAGTGATAAATATAAGCACGCATGAGCTCTAAAACAAACAGAAAGGACTCCAATCTGTAGCACAGCTCTTAGCTAATTAAGAGTTGACACATTTTCAGATGTCTTGGTGAAGAACGAGAGGGACGGGCAGGAATGATCAAAGCAAACCCTTTACCTTGAACTTAGAAGGAATAAAAAGATAATATTGCTGTAACTTTTCAACCGTCTGGTATTTAGAGGAAACGGCACATTTCACAGGATTCTTCAGCGCTGCTCGCTGAAGTTTTTGCACCTGAAGAAAGAAAACCTAGACTAGTACACTGATTCCTAAATACTCTATCTTTATTATTGTCACTGTGACTGTTTCTATTTATCAATTCTTATAAAGAAGAAAAGAGAAGTCCTAGAAAAGTTCACCTTCTTGGTCATCGTAGCAGAGAAGAGAAATGTTTTCCGATCTCGGGGAATCACTTTCAGGATCTTGTCAACCTAAAAGGCAGAAAGAGCAATGGTACCAACATAACATTTAGCCTGGACGCCTGCAAATGCTGCTTGTGAAGGAGATGAGGGGTAACAAACTAAATACATCACTGTGGGGATTTGGGGACTCAAAACTTTGATTCAGTTCAGCTAAAACTGACTATTTACTATTTGATACCATAGCAGATGCTACCAAAAAATAATGCCAGTCAGAGAAAAGCACAGTTTAAATCAGCAGAGTAGAGCTAATCTAAGAGAAAAGTAAAGAATAAGCATTAATCAACTAAATAAGCTATGATGAATGGGTCATCAAAGAAAAGATGGAAGAGGCTGAAATCAAATGAAATGGAAAAAGAAAATCTGGTTTTGGTATTTCTCACCTCTGAAATCAAAGTCAGTCTATATGTATGTATGTATATATATGTTTGCCCAACTGTCTTTTTTAATTGAAGTATAGCTGATTTACAGCAAAGTGATTCAGTTACACATACATACATATTTACACTTTTTCAGATTCTTTTCCATTATAGGTTATTACAAGATATTGAATATAGTTCCCTGTGCTCTACAGTAGGT